GGAGATATATGTGTCATGATGCTTGCTATAGTTCTCGGCCAACGATGGAATTTATTCTAAGCACATTTGTCCACTCATGCTTTTTTCACAGAATTATACGAATCTAATATAGATATAAATTATATACGATATATTATGCTAATATACCATCAACCGTAGCCAAATTTTATTGATAAGAATTATTCCAGAATTAATTGCAAGATTTTATCCAAGTCAATTGCAGTTTATGCATTACTGCTTAGTTTACTAAGAAAGGATAGAACATCTACTAGGGTTACCATGAACGTATTCAGTATGCATTGGGTTCTTGTGTATTGGACTTGGTATATCCTTTTATCTCATATATGCAGTGAATGCAAGCAGCGCATTCCTGTAGTTATTATAAGTTAGTCTATTACAAGCAGGTCGTTGATTGTATCACAGGATGAAGGGCAGCAAAGGCAAGTGTGAGTCTCGGTAGCAGAGCTTAGCTACTCCAATCTACCTGCGCCTTGCAGAGTGCTGAACCCCTAATAGTATCAGTAATGAATAAGGATCATGAAAGGATAAAATTTTTCAGAGGATAGTCAGAAAATGGGGTAACTTAGCCAATTGAATTACCTGTTGGTGGTGATCCGGAGTCCAATAATTAATTTAATTTCGTCTAGATTAATTAATAGAATTTTTCACAGTCGAGGACAAGTTCAGCTTGCCCAATATGCGCGGAGGGTCTGTGCTCTCCGAGCAGTGCTGCTAGTTATTCATGGTAATCAGACAAAAGTTTTTTGTATATATTATAGAAATCTCCATACAGTTGTAGCGCTCGTGCAAACCGCTGAACATACGAGAGAACTCGACGCACGTTCCGACACCGACTGTTAGGATAAGGCGGATCGGCCTAGACCGAGTTCCTAACAGGGTGCTCCCTGGAACCGGAGTGTGGGCTGACTCTCGTTTGCGACCTGAGTATACAATTGATTTGTGTCTGCTGTTGTGTAGTGTGCGTTTGTTGCGTGTTGGTTTCGCCAGCTATCAATCATGAGTACAACTGCAATCAAGTAGTAAAAATCGCGAGTCCCTGTCAATGGGTGGCCAGCATTGGCTATTAGCCACCCCCTCCAGCGTCCGGGTGAAGTGGAGCTGGCCCGTGTACAACAGCAAGGCCATGACGTGTCAAAAGAGACACGGCATAGTTCTACCGCGAATCGTTGAGGAGGACAGTGTGTGCGAAGTTCGTCCCGTAGCGCTCGATGAAGGAAGACTCGCATGGTAGAGTAGCACGACGTCTACTCCATGACCGTATGCGTGCTGTAAGAGTGGACCTGTGAGCTGTTGTGCTGTGTGCGGGCGTAATATGATGGTGACAATCTAGCGTACGAGTACCCAATAGCTACTACGTACACTAGGTACTAGTGGTGAGGTAACTGTAACTTCGGTCAACGGGCGTTTTTGGCGTGTGCCTTGCTCATGGGTGAGAGAGGGCAGGCGCGTCTGGTAGTTTGGTGAGTAGGCCACTGTCGTGACCGTCCTTTGTATTGGTGGGGTGCCGTGAAGAATTACAAGTACTATTAGATAGTCGAAATATTAAACAGATTGGATTTGAAATATTATTCCTAGACAGAGTACGGGTTAATTATGAGAAGTTTAACTACAGTCGCACGGCTTGCCAACGAGAGGAGGGCCGAACCGGTGTACTGTAAGCCTATGGACCCGGCTGCGTCCCGTGAGTTTGATTCACCGTTGTTAGACGCTCGTCTGACCCGTGGTGTGCAGCTTGTTATTCGACGGTAACGCTATAAGGCTGGGCAAGGCAGGGGTGGGTTGACCCGACAGTTCACCGTGGTCCGGTGTCTTGTACAGGTATTAGTTGGTTCGCGCCCACGTAGCTCCGCTAGTGGTTGGACGCTAATTCGTCTACCACGACAGCATCCGAAATACCGAGAATCACCGCAGAATAGGGCTCATTCCCGGGGGGGCGCAGTAGCACTCAGCGCGTCCGGTTGGCGTTAGCGAGGTCCGGCGCCCGACGATCACCCGGCCGCGTACCAACGCTCCCAGACACAACGGTAAGTAATTACCCTAGATTGTGTGCTAGCCAAGTCATAGCGGTGTCGTACCGTGGCGAGCCCATCGGGTGTACCGCCGGAGAGAGTCTGACGGAAACAAAAACTACCTCGGTGGCCCGGCCCCAGATTTACTGCATATGTATACGTGGGTATGCATTGAGGGGCTGCACGTGGGTTTACCGATTGCGTAGGTGTCGTCTGTCAGGAGTGTGGTTTGTTAGTCGAGCGCTGCATGACGGAGAGACCGGCCGTGAGATGCCGCTAATGGGTGCGCTGCTCGCTATGCAGTCTGACATTCTTAAGGCGATGATATAGTATCAACCTACGTTCTTAGATGTTACGGGTCGGATGTCA